CCCTCTCTTTTTTTCCTCTTTTTTGTCTCTCTTCTCTCTCTTTTTCTTTCTCTCTTTCCTTCTCTTTTTTCTTCTCTCTTTTTCTCTTCCCTTCTCTCTCTCTCTCTCTCCTTTCTCCTGTTTTTTCTTGTTTCCCCCTCTTGTCTCTTTTTTTCTTTCTCTCTCTTTTTCTCTTTCTTTCTCTCTTGTTTCTCTCATTTCCCTCTCTCTTTTCTCTTGTTTCTCTTTCTTTCTCTCTCTCTTCTCTTTCTTTCTCTCGTTTCTCTCTTTTCTCCTCTTTTTTCTTATTTCCCTCTCTCTTTTCTCTCTCTTTTTCTCTTTCTCTCTAATTTCTCTTTTTTCTTGTTTCCCTCTCTCTTTTTTTCTCCTTTTTCTTTCTTTCTCTCTCTTTTCTCTCCTTTTTCTCTCTTTTCTTTTTTCCCTCATATTTCTTTTCTCTCTATTTTCCTCTTTCTTTTCTTTTTCTTTCTCTATTCTCCTTTTCTTTTTTCGTTTCCCTCTCTCTTTTCTCTTTTTTATTTTTCTCTCTTTTTTCTCTCATTTTTCTTTTCTCTCTGTTTTCTTTCTTTTCCCACTCTTTTCTCTTTCTTTCTCTCTTCTTTCTACTTCTTTTTTTCTTGTTTCCCTCTCTCTTTTCTCTTTCTCTCACTTTTTCCTATTTTTCTCTCTCTTTTCTGTCTCTCTCTTTTTCTCTCGCTCTCTTATCTTGTTTCCCTATTTCTTTTCTCTCTTTTTTCTTTTTTCTCTTTTTTTATTTTCCCCTCTTTTCTCTCTCTCTTTCTCTCTTCCGTCTCCTCTTCTCTTTTTTTCTTTTTTCCTCTCTCTCTCTCTCTCTCTTTTTTTTTCTCCTGCAGGGAGGGGGGCGGGATCCATGAAAAGTTAATAGACTGAAAAGGGTCCGTATGCCCAAAAAGGTTGGGAACCGCTGCTCTAGACTATGACACCGATTGACCGTCACATCTCCGGCTAAATGACAGTAAAATCATTGGCTCCAGCCCAGAATAATTAAACCGCC